GATAGCAAGATTAATAGCTTTTCTAGATAGTCCAAGTAATTCCACATAGATAGCTTTAGCATTAGTGTTAGATGAACTTGTTGTAGATTAAGAGATAGGTAAATTAGATTGAATAGAAGAAAAATAATAAAAATTAATGGTATCTTTAAATACTATATCATTTCTTGGTTCTGTTATATTGCATACTAAAATAGAAGAATATCTTTGTAAAAGTTCATCTTTTTGAATATCAGTTTCTAAATACCAATATGTTGGAATAATAGTTATGTGAAATACTGCATATTGAGTGTAGGTGCCAATATGAAAAAAGTGCTGACACACTAATCCTTTGTTAATTAAGAAAAGGCATATATATATATATGTACCTTCATCAAGCAATACTACATAATAGTCAATTCCTTCTGATCTGATAGCATGTATATTCTACACTTCAATAATTAATTCCTGTGATATATTTTTAATCAAAGATTTAAAGAGAATTTGTCATATGTCTTGCTCTTGTTCTCTAGTTTTAATACATATCTCTTTATTATCAGTTTCTGTATTAAGTAACTGTCTCTACTCCATAACTCTAATAACATTGTAGTATACTGATTGATTCATCTGATCTCATTGTTTTTCAAGCATAATAGGAGTCAAATACTTCTTAATAACACTATTTATTTGTCCAAAAAATCAGATATTTAGCATAGGCATGCCAACCATGGGTAGTACATTCTGTTCAGCGTCAAAACTTGTAATATGTTCTTTATTTTTCATATGATCCTTGATGCTTAGCAATAAATTACACAGAGATATAGCATAATCCACTTTGCTATATATATATTTATTAATATATTCAATTCTCTGTATGCTTTGAGCTCCTGCTATAAATTGTTTATATATCCAGAGAATTGTCCAAGACTTTTTAGTAATATAAAGTGTATCTTGCAAGTATTTTGCCACTGTAGAATATTTCTCAATCAATTGAACCTATCACAATTCAAATAATTCTTCTAATAGAGAATTCTGATATGAATAAAATGTTTGATGAAATTCTTCAAAGTTATTATCTAATTTACTCTTAAGCTTTTTTCTAAGATTTAAATCAATATGGAAAATACATAAAAGATGCTGAGAATTGAGATAAACCTTTTTGATTGTTTGGATCATTAAAGAGTTGGAATCAGTAAAGATAACTTTGAAGAAAATGCTAGTCTTATTATAAATACTTTTAAATATCCATCTATAAGTATCCAATATTTTATCCTCAATAATAGCACATGCTACAATTTGAGTTTTATAATTTTGTCAATAACAGTTAAAATACAAAGCATTATTTGGAACCGGTTGGTATTGTAAATTGTATCTAATATCATAATATTATGAAATTTGCTATATATATTTTGTTGCATAGAAGATATTCATAAAAGAGAATTTAATTTTTTTGAAATTGGTTCTAGTCAAAGTTTTACAACCTAAAGAGGCTCTAAATCTTTTTATTCTAACAATATCTGAAGTATCCATGAAGTATTCAAATTATCTAAATTATTCTTACACTAAAATTAATATATTGTGTTATATAAATCACGTTTATGAATTGGATTTTCTGGGTAGTCATGCTTAAGCAATAAGTAAATAGATTTTAAATCCATTCGATCTTCAATCGCATACTTTTTAATGACCGCTAATATTTCAGCTATTAATTTTTGAAAACATAAAGCTAATTCGTGTATTATGGAGATAAGCTAATGATTATGACTTTAATAAATATATTAATTTTAACAATGTTATTGGTCTTTGGGCAGATAACATTAAGTTTCCAAGAGCAGTTTATTTATTGAGAAGCAGTATTTTGTTGTTGAATTAGATCTGAGGTAACTTGTAGATTATTTGTACCTGATTTCATATATTCATATATAACCCTTCACAATACACCTTTAACTGTCTCATTTGTTCTAATTTTATAATTAAAGCCTTGTTTCAATACAAATCTATAGAGCCAATTTTTAAATGATTCCTAGCTAAAAAAAGTAAGGCCAGATTTTAATTTCAAAGGATTTGATTTTTCTGATTTACTATTATCATGTAAAGTAGTATCACTTAAGGTCATATTTGATTCAAAAGCCTAACCAAATAGAAGTTATTTATATTAGATATAGAAAAACACAAAAAAATAATAACTAAGATGATATATACTTGAATCTGAGATAAAGAACAAGAAGCATTTATATTCTTATAAAAAGTAGATTCATGTTTGTTATTTGTTTTCTCAGAAGTCTAAATAGCAAAAAAAAAAAAAACTATAATTAGATAGTTAACTGAATAAAACAGTAGACAGTAGGTATATTATATGAATTTGAAGTGAAAAATATAAGATATATACTTGAATCTGTGACAAAGAACAAGCATTTGTATTCCTGTGAAAAGTAGACTCATATTCTATTTCAATGTTATTTGTTTCCTTAGAAGTCTAGACAGCAAAAAAAAACCATAATTAGAGTAGACAATAGGTGTATCACATAAATCTGAAATGAAAAATATAATATATACTTGAATCTGTAACGAAAAACAAGTATTTATATTCTTATAAAAAGTAGATTCACATTCCATTTCAATATTATTTGTTTTCTCAGAAGTCTAATAGCAAAAAAAAATTAAAAAAAATAAATATAAATAGATAGTTAACTGAATGAACAGTAGCCAGTAGGTATATCATGTGAGCCTGAAATAAGAATAAAATAGATGAGATATATACTTGAATTTGCAACAAAGAGCAAGAAGTATTTAAGTTCTCATGAAAAGTAGAATTACTTTTCTCGATTGCAAAAAAAAAAAAAAAAAATTAGATAGTTCAATTAGGTAAAGTAACTAAAATAAAACAGTAGGTGTACCATATAAACATGAAGTGAGGATGAGAAAGATGAAAAATCATTTCTCCTATCTTCAAAATTCACATCTGTTATATTTTTTGATCGTTCAAAAGCCTAAAAAAGCTAAATATATGAAATATACTCAAAGGAGCACAACACAAAGAGTAATAATATAGTTATATAAAGCTGTAGTGACAAAGATGCAAGAGGAGCATTTTGATTATTAAAATTACTGGTGCAAGTTAGATAATTTTTTGTTCGTTCAGAGGTCTATTTAATGAAAAAGAGATATGCAAAAAGGTTATTAAATAGTTCAATTAGTGCGAAGTATGCAAATAAAATAGCAATTATATCACGTGAACCTGAGACGAAGATGATAGAGATGAAAAAGCATTTATCATATAAAATACATCTTCGTAATTCATATCAGCCATATTTATTGCTTGTTCAGAAGCCTAAAAAAGGCGAGATATAAAAGATACACTCTGAAAAATATAATACATAAGTAATAAATACAGTATATGTACCTGAAACTGTGGCAACAAATATAAAAGAGAAGTGTTCAGGTCATCAAAATTACTGGCACAAGTCAGATCATTTATTGTTTGTTTAAAGGCCTAAATAATAAAAACAAAGTAGATATATTAAGTTTTTTAAAAGGCAAGATATAATAGATACACTCTGGAAAATACAACATAAGAGATAAAGTTATATTACCTGGAACTGTAATGAAGAAGAAGAAGCATTTAAATCATTTAAATCATTAAAATTACTGGCACAAGCCAGATCATTTGTTGTTTGTTTAAAAGCCTAAATAATGAAAACAAAATATAATTTTTGTGAGTTTGTTATTCTATACGTTTTGCACAATTAAATGGCAAATATTATGAAACTGTGTTGAAATATCTCACGTGAGTATATATTAGAGTCGATAAATAAGAATTAAAAATAGCATTAAAGTTTGTATCATCCATTTTGGGATTTTTTTTTCTTGTATTGTATCACTCAAGAAGCATGAAATTCAATAGAAGCTAAAAAGCTAATAGAAGAAAGAAAAATATAAAATGCTAATATCAAAACTAGTATAAGTTCTATTTTTTTTACAATATATAATGTTTCAGTTTGTAATTAATGTAATTGTTACACAATCAACAAAAATCTGCATTAATTGTATAATGATTACAGACCCATGTATATACACTATGTGTAAGATTAGATTTTTTCTAAAAAAAATAAAGCTTTACTAATAATTACTATTATAAGTAAAAATATTTAGTAAAATAAAATTAAAAATAAATATCACTACTACTAATATTAATAGTAATTATATTACTATAAAATAAAAGCATTTAAATTTCTATAAATAAAAAAAATAAAGCTTTACTAAGATTATACAAATTTAATTACTTGGTTTTTATAATATGAAATTTTAAAAATAAACCTGGCCAGCTAGCTTTTTTTTAAAAATTTTATATATAAAATTTTATAAAATTTATATAAAAAAATTTTTTAAAACCTATCTAGTTATTAAAATATATAAAAATTTTTTTTTAAAAGTTTTTAATTTTGACTTGACCAGGTTATAAAAACTAATTAATTAATTTTGCATGGCCTAATAATTACTATTACAAGCAGAAATATATATAGTATTTAAAAAAATAATAAATATCTTTACTATTAATACAAATAATATTTATATTATTACAAGATAAAAATATTTAAATTCTTATAAATGGAAAAGATAAAGCCCTACTAACAATTACTATCACAAGCAAAAATATTTAATAAAATAAAATTAAAATTAAATATCTGTTCTGAGTTGAAGAAATTCAGTAGTCTAGTCAAATAACTTATCTATTTTCTTACCCAAGTCTTTCTAATAATAAGAAAACTATTAATTTTTGAATTAATTTAGATTTACTATAATAAAGTTTCTACTATAATATTATATACTGTATATTTAATAAAAAAAATAAAAATAAAAAAAAATAAATAACTTTACTACTAATACTGATAGTATTTAACAACTCTTTCTAACAATTAATTGTATTAAAAATTTTAAAAAAATTTTAATTCAAAAAACAGTAAACTAAATATAGAATATGAATAGAAATATATATAATCAAAAAATAGTATCTACTATTTAGAAGTAGTTCTTATATACTATCTGCTAGTGGGTTTAGAGTTTATTATTTATAGCAAAAACAGTACTTGTTGTTTAAAAGTAGTTCTTATATACTACTTTCTAACAAACTCAGAGTTTATTACTTACCAAAAAGTGAGAGTTGTTTCTGAGCTAAAAATATCCAATGCTATATTTTTTGCAAAGCCTTTTCTTATCAAAAAATTTTTTAAGTACATAAAGTTTTTATAGAACTCTATCATTTATATTTTCTGATAACAAAATTTTGAAAAAAGTGGGCAAAACAGTTTATTTTATCAAAAAATTAGCATTGTTTACTTTTTTTAAATTTAGATAACATAGTAAATAGCAATTATATATTTGGTTTAAATAGATATACTACTACTTTTTTAAATTGGCTCCAGGTTAAGATATCTCTAGTAACAGTAGCAAGTAGCTTGAAATACAGGTTCTTGAATAATAGCAATATCCAACTTGAGATATAAACTAGTAGTAAATTAATTAAAACTTTCAGATTTGGTTATTAGATTAAGAAGATTCAAAAATAAGGCAAAGCTTTATAATAGTAATATACAAATATTGCTTTAAAGTAGTATATAATTTTTTAAACCTTGGCACAAGCAATAATAGTACTATATCTGTCTTCTATCTTCTATTTTTTTTTTATATCTTTATTATCTTGTTTAGTTATATTCAAATAGTATTTAAAACTTTTGTTTAATCTTTTTGTAATTGTATATTTTATATTTCTTTATCATGGTTTGGGCCCTATAGCTTAATTGTTAAGTTGCCAAACCCCTACAGAAATTAAGTCAAGGTCTACGGTTCGAGTTGGGCTAGAGGTGAAAAAACTCTATAACCTACAGATAAGGAGCCAAAATCGAACACGGAGTCACGTGGAAGTCCAAGTATAGTACAGATTTGATAGGAAATTTCTGGAAGAAGATCTAACTATAGAGAGTTGGTATCACGTTTGGCAAGCAATGTCATAGAAGGTTTGGACAATAGGTTGCACATGTTAATCTGAAGAGATCAAAACTATAGAGAGTTGGCATTATGTTTGGCAAGCGGTGTCATAGAAGGTTTAGAACAAATAGATTATATGTATAAATTCTTGAGGCACTTAGGTAATACCAACAACCCAGGCGGTCTGGGATCTTGTTTGGGAGGGTAATACTAATGTTCTAAACTGGAAGTAACGAGTGAAGCGGTGAATATAGTGTCAGATCTGCATGGTAGCACCAACAACCCATAGATCTGAGATTTTGTTTGAGAGTTGTAATACTAATGTTCAAACTGAAAGTGATGATTGAAGCAGTGAATATGGTAAAGATCTGTGGAAAAGGATTGGTCTAATTAAATTCTGGAAATATCACTGGCACCTATATAAGGTTAGAAGTTGCGTTAAGTATTGCATTGTATATTACTAACTTCAGTAATGAGTGCTATGCCGGTGCATTGTTAATCAAGGTTCTAGGTCTCCTTGTAGCACCAAGCTAGAAGTGAAAATGATCGATAGTAGTACACCCACACGTAAAAATAGATATACTGGGAAGCCTTTAGTGCTCATACTACAGACAATACCAACTTTGGTAGCATCATAAAGGCAAGTGTTACACTGCAGAGTAACAATCAGAAATTCTAATAAATCTGGCTATACCTATTTGGGAAGGTTGTGGCTTGAGATACAGATCATATTACAGCAGCACCCCAAAAGTTGGCTTGAGATACAAACATGATGACAGTAGCACAACATATATCCAAATCAGAGTGGTACTAAATCAAATATAAGGCCATATACACCAATTTGGAAGCAACAAGAGCAAAAAACCGCTGGAATGAACCAAATTAGGAGGAAAAGAAAGTTACTGCAGGAAGTGGATAGGGGGACAAGATATAATAACAATACAGAAAACTATATATAGGAAAAAGGTAGGTCGTACACTAGCTGGAAGTTGATTAATAGAGTAATAGCTATTGATTAAATTCTAAGATATAGCAAAAATATGACTAAATTGCTTAGAGTGGGTGTCATTAGATAGACTAATGTAGCACAACTTAATTCTTGTAATATACAATATGTAATAAGTTCTTAAGTTCTTAATTAATAAAAATTATAGCATATAAGCAATTTATAAAAAAAAAAAAAAAAAAAAATATTTCTTTATCATTCCTAAATATGTTTTTGTTTAGTTTGTAATATGGTTTTTTTTATTTTTTTTATTTTAAACCGATATCACAGATGCTAACACTTTATTGTGTTTTTATATGTTTATTTACAAATATTTTTTGATATATTGATGAGTGTACAACTAGCCATGCATACAACTTTTGGTTGCCTATTTAAGTAGTCTGCCTGAAGGTTCTACACTAGCTGCCATACCTGCAACTTGCTAGGAGATTGCCTATTTAAACCCTCTGATCTTCTGTACCCACTCTGCAATCAGCCCTATAAGTTTCTGTACACCAAGGTGCCGTCTAACTTGACATTTGGCTTCCCTTTCTGTGCTAGGAACCCAGGCCGTACCCAATTTAATGAGTACTGTCACCTAGTAGCAAGGCTCAGGGTGCCCCCCTGTCAACAACCTACCCACTCTATGGTCCTATCAACAGGGCTATGTCATTGCAAAGTTCACCCAAATCCCGGTACCCACTTCACAGCATATCCCCAGTACTTTGGTTCTCCTCCGCTTTGGTCCTAGACTACCAATCCAGATGGCCCAGAAGGACTGTGACCTGTTCTTGATTCATCGGCTCTGCCATGACCTTTTCCTCTGGTTAACCCGGCGGCCTGGTTGGTGAATCGGCTTTACCACAAACTGATCATGCCCTGTCCAGTTTGGTTTCCTTTTCCCGGGTCTAGCCTTTATAGTAGTACTGTCAAAGATTTGTGCTACCTCTTCACTCAGGTCTTCCCAAATAGGCTCCTGTCCTCCCAGTCCTACGGATTTATGTGACCTAGGGACTTATCGAGTGTTTGCACTGCCCATTGCCAGTTTGCATTTCTCTGTGTAATTCAAGGTTGCAGGATGCCCCAGACCTGCCAGTCATACTAGTGTGACCGTAGTTACAGGTATCCTATCCCAACTGATCTACAGAAGACGGTTGCCATAACACAGGTAATTATACAAATTTTCGCCGTCGGTGGGTTTTGAACTCTTGACCTGCTACTTGGTAAGGATGACAACCTAACCACTACACTAAATCGCCACACCTCTCTGGTTTGGAATTTTTAAAATTAATAGTTTACTCAATTAATAATCTTATTTAAAAATTTCCTTTTAAATTTTTATTAAATTTATACAAAACAAATAATTACAAATCTGTATTT